GGGGGGGGGGGGGGGGGGGGGTTGTCTGGCCCAAAGATGACTAAAAAGCAGCAGTTATACCATGAACAATTAAATGTCTGGTGTAACAGGACAGAGAGGTGAACAAAATACAGACTAGACATAAAGCTCCATAAAATAAGGGTTTATTATCTTGACACATACAAACAATATTGCTCAAGTAAGCAGGTGTAAAGAAGTTGGTTTTAATGTGACTACCAGTAACTTCTCTAATGGATCATGTGACTTCTAATGTCAAATCTGTGCCCAAATGCGGATTTTTACTAATTCATGTACAATATTCTGGTTTTACAGAAGTCATTCATAATACTCTTACTGAACAAATTAAATATAAGACTTCATCTCTGCTAGATATAAACTTTATTTAATTTTGATGTGATTTTACATAATTTAGATCTGGTGAAACAGAGTATAAACATGTTAAACCGATTACAATAACTAGCTAGTCTATTTTGTCTTCATTTTTTTTAAATAAAAAATTGCAGGGTTTCTTAATCTTCAAAAGAAAGATTCGTATAAACCTGTAAATTCATAAAGGTACAATGGTAACTGCATTTTATCTTAAGCACTTCAGCATACAGTGAAGGCATCTGTACAATAATTTCTGACTGATTCTCACAATAATTGCGTTTCATGATCTTTTATCTATCATCTTGTCATCCTGTGATATGTATGCTTCTCTTGGTTCTCTGTACAGCACAATTCTCCTATGCAGCACTGCGGCTGTACATATTTACATCAACTTTGGTAAGTCTAGTAGAGTTTATAAAACATAATTTCACAAGATTTATATATTATCTCATCATTCTTTGTCTATGGTTATTCTGTGAGCAGTTGATCGGTGACTGATCAGCAGGCTGGGGTGAGGGTTTGGGCTGGGGAACACAGAACAGGACGCAAACAAATGACAGGGTGCAACTTGAACAAAATATGAATTCTAAAATTATTTTGAACAAAGCATTCAATTTAAACCAGAATTTTCATTTACAAGGACTGCAACTCATGGACACAGCACCACTGCAAAACCAGACTTAGATATCTCCAGAAGATCAAGTAACAGTACAAGGTTTTGATGCTGCAAATCCAGGCTGCATCAAATAAATCAACTCTACAGTTCAGAAATGGGAATTGGGAAGGGAGCAGGTCTATAAGAAAGTCTACAAGAGCAGGTATGGCACAGAATAGGGAAACAGTTATGACTTTATGAACTTGATAGAGTAGCAGTTAGAACAAAGAAACAACCCCCAAAAGCAACCAGACAAGTGAAAACCTTTTAGATTTCTGCAACTATATAAATCAGTGCATCAAGATGTTAAAGGCCAGATGTATCAGCTGGCTCAGAAAGGGATCTGAAACTAGACTGCACTGTCACATAGGAAGCAATTACTACTGACCAAAAAACAAAAGGAGGTATCTTTACTGTCTTTAAAAAATATTTAATCGTTATGTGTTTTTTTCTGCAATCAGTTTTAACAAACTTGAGGGTAAAAGGCTGGCTTTGCAAAGCAATATTACTGAAGAGCAAATGGTCCTGTAACAACTTGGGAGATGTGCTCAAAGTTACACTGTGACATGTCAAATGACAATATAATCAGTCACTTTAATAGTGAATTATCAGGGCCAACTACAGCAATTACCCGAGTCTTCAGGTGAATTTCAATAGGAAATAATTTTATTTGTTCTCCTTTTTGTAATTAAAGCCTAACTCAATGCACACCACATAATCTGCATGAAACCTTGTTTTCCTCTTTATTGAGATCTCCAACCCATCTTTGAATTTCGTTTGATGCATCAGAATGTCACCTTTTTTTTAGTATGCAAATATGGGTGCATAAGTATTTGTCAGAAAATGTATATAAGGTACATATGCTGCCTAGCTGCTTATTTACCTTTTAGACTTGACATATACATTAAGAGCTCCGTTGTGTTACACACATTCCTCAAAATAAATGTAAAACTTAAGCAAAGAAACTTAATGGCCAGTCTCTTCGCGAACGAAGAACCGGGGAAGGTCTTTCCACCTTCCAGCCTGCGCATTGGATTTTTTAGGTGAGACACAGTGTGCGTGGAACTGAGCCCACCCTTTAATCCTGAGGTTCATCTGCCGGGGCCAAGCACGCTTGGACGGTGGCAGCGAGGTCCTCAGGACATAGATGGATTGCCTTACAGGGCTAGCGAGCTCCATCTGCCCGGGGAGTGTCCTAACCGGGAATCGAACCCAGATCTCAGCGTTGACAACGCTGTGGTTTAGCCACTGCACCACCAGGGACACTCATGCAAAGAAACTACACTGTTTACCAGACACATGTTTATAACTTGAATCATAAACGTGTTAGAGTGTACCTGGCTTGAGTAAACAGCTGTGCTGGTTTTGGCTGGGGTAGAGATAGATTTGGCTGGGATAGATTTCTTCACAGTAGCTGGTACTGGCTGTGGTCTGGGTTTGTAATCAAAACAGTGTTAATAACACAGGGATGTTTTAGCTATTGCCAAGCAGCACTTGCACAACATCAAGGACTTCTCTGCCTCTCAGAACAGGCACCAGAGAGGAGACTGGGGGTGAGAGACAAGGAGCTGGGAGAGGACACTGCTGGGACAGTTGAGGCCTACTGACCACAGAGATATCCCAGAGCACATGGTGTCAGGCTCAGCAGTAAAAGCCAAGCTGGAAGTTTGCCAGGGCTGCCATTTCTCAGGAATTCACTGGGCATCAGTCAGCTGGGTGTGAGCAATCAGGGTTTCCTTCTATCACTTGTTTTTCTTGCTTTATTATATATCTTTTTTTTTTTTTTTTTAACTTATTAAACTCTCTTTATCATAAACCATGAGTTTTCTCACTTTTACCCTACCAGTTCCCCCTTCCAGCCCAGGGGAGGGAAAGCAAGTGAGCATCTGCATGGGGTTTAGGTGACTACAGGGATGAAACCACAGCAGCCCTCTTTGGCACCCAACACAGAGTTTAAATGGTTTGAGATAATGGCAGATTTGACCAGAGCGTGTCAGAAGGAGAGGAGGGAGCAGAAGGGGTGGTCTGTTCTGCAGCAGAGCAGCCACAAGAACAAGAGGGGGGGAAGAGGCAAAAATCACAAACAAGTTTTCGCACCTTTACCCTTTTGATTCTCTTCCCCATCCCAGTGAGGGGGAGTGAGTGAGCGGCTGCGTGGGGCTTACCTGTCTACCAGGGTTAAACCACAACTTCAAGTTTCATTTTCACACTGAAATTAACTGTAATTATGGTTTCAACCTGCAAAATGGTGTTTCTCATGAGGGCATACAATTATCAACTATTTTGATAGCACAGCATAGGAAAATTTAACTGAATTACTTCCCTCACAACATCAATCAATGAAACCAAAAAAGAGGAGTGCAGCTTACATCACTGATAAACAAGGAAGAATCACATTATTCCCAGAACTGGGAAGTTCACATATGGAAGCTTTAGTTTAATGCTCTCTGACAGCACATACAGAACCAGGACAGACAGGAGGGAGATGTGTACATTGATAATGTTCCACCAATCCAAAATGTATTTTCTGTAGCACTGCAGACCTTCTGCCAGCATTTTTTCCATTCCTTACAAAAAATCCCAACTACTGAGGGCTCTGTGGAATCCAATAGAACTGAGAAGGTACTAAAAAGCTGTCACACTGTTCAATGATTGTAGAGTGGATTGGTAAGAAAACTCTGTGAAGAGAAGTTGTTCGACAGATACTGTGAGAGTTGTGATTCTGTGAGGGAAGTAAATCAATCAAATTTTTCCATGTTGTGTTATCAAAATAATTGATTTGTCTGCCCTCATGAAAACTGGGATTGAAGCTGAAAAAACCTTAACATTCAAACTGCACAGTTAGAGTGGGAAATGCAGAGAAATGAATAATTTTCTACTGTTGTACTGCAAAGTGAGAAACAAAATGAGGATTAAATGGTAAGCTTTGGTTCCTTTAAGTTTGTATTAAGTGAGTAGTACACCTCTGCACCTATATAAAGTAAGGCCAACTTCTTCACAGAACTCTCACACCACAGATATAAGTGACTGTGCTTTAAAATAAAAAATATATTTGCTATTTCTTACACAAAAATTCTCATTAGGTAAAGATGAAAACACAAACACAGTCAGCAACAGATTAAAACTGAAGAAAAGACAGGATCATTTTTGTCAGAAGGTACAGAAGTGTTCTTAATCATCAAGGAATGACTTTTGCAGTTGTGCTGATTGGTTTTAGCTGAAACCGCGGTAGCAGCCAACAGAAGGTACCTTTAAAGTATCGGTTTTGCTTTTACTGCCATGTTTTAGATTTTTATTTTTGCTTTATTACTTTTGCATTTTCACAGAAGCTTAAGAAGAACCTGGAAAAGCCAAAACGCTGTTACACACAAACATATTTAACTAGAAAAAATAAATTATAGTATGGTGCAGAAAAACAGAGAAAGCTTCCTATTTGATTGTGATAATCAACATAGTTTTCATGTTAAAACCCAATTTCTGAAATTAACAGTAAAAGTCCTCATGAGCAATACACAGACAGTGCTTTTTTAGAAGCAAATACAGTTGTAAAGACTCTGGGAGATGTACAATGAAAGTAACATTAAAGACACGAAGTATAAAAATGCTGGAAGATTATTTTTATTAGTACTGTCATCCTCAAGCTAAATTTTCCACACTAAAAGACAGTGCTTGGCTTGTGTTTTGTCTCTCCAGGTAAAACAATTACCTGGAGCCTGTGAAACACTTGACTCTGCACATCGTATGACAACTGAGGAATTGAAACTGTGAGTGCAATATATCCCCATTTTTGTATCCTTAAAGATGCCACAGAGCTGCACTGCACACACTCACAATTCAGCAAACAACGTGGGAACTTTCATTTGAGGTCTGTTTTGCTGAACCACAAGGGAAGCT